ACTCAGGTCCTTCTGACTCCAAGGCCAGAGCTCTATTCGCTGCACCACCTAGCTGCCCCATGTTTTTGCCTTTCTTTGAATCCCCAGCACTTAGCACAGTGCTTGGCACATAGTAAGCACTTAAAAAATGTTGACTGACTGACATCCTAGGCTAGGGGAAATCAATTGTTTAGGGATACACATTCTCCTTATATGTAAAATGAAGGGTTGAACTAGATCACTTAAAAGATTTCTTCTGGTTCTAAATCTCTGATCCCATGACCTTTTAAGTATTTGGTGTAAGTTCAAAGGCAGCATGGTATAGTGGAAAGAACATTGAATTTGGAGTCAGAGGACCTGAGCTTAAACATAGTTTCTGTCACTTATTAGAGGAACAAGGAAACAATGACTTATTAAGCACCTACCATGTGCCAGGAACTCTGCTGAGCACTTTACAAATATTGTCTATTTGACCCTAACAACAACCCAAGGAGGTAGGGGTTATTAGTATATCCGTTTTCCTGTTGAGGGGACTGAGGCAGGCAGAAGTTAAGTGACTTGCCCAGGGTCATACATCCAATATCTGAGGCTGGATTTGAACTCAAGTTGTCCTGACTCTAAGCCCAAGTTTTTAATCTATTGCACCCCAAAGCTGTCTTACTAGCTGCGGGGCATTGGACAAGTCACTTAATTTCTCCAGACCTCAGTTTCTTCACCTATAATATGAACGTGTTGGATGAGATGATCTCTAAAATTCCCTTCCATCTCTAAGTGCTATGATTCTTATTCTGCCTTTCAATTCAAAAAATTATCATTGGGGACTGGACATACAAAGACAAAAATGAAAATGTTTGCTCTGGAGGAGCTTAGGTTCCACAGCTACACAGAGAAGTATGATGTAAGGTGGAGAGGGGAGGAGGGGGTGGAGAAAGAGATCGAGAGAAGCTAGGGAGATCAGGGAAGGCTTCAGAGAGGAAACAGCCCTTAAGCTAAGCCAAGGCATAGCCCTTGGGCCTCCTAATTCTCAGTCTCCTTAACTTTTTTTTAAAAAATCTTCATTCTACTCTACTCATTCACAAGGATTGTTGCATCTTAGATTTCACAGTGATGCATAATTGTGCTACTTTCATGATCTGTACCTATGTGACTCTGGGCCTCAGTTTCCTCATCTGTAAAACTAGAGGGTTGCACTAGATGACTTCTATGATCCCTTCCAGCTCTAACCCTGTGATTCTGTGACCCTAGAATCTTGAAATCTGAAATTCCTCTGACTCTTCTGACTCTTCTTCTGCTTAATTCCTAAGCTTATTCTTTGTCCTTATTGTGACCTACACTCCCTCCATAGCTCCCTGCTCTCCATGCTGACTGAGGCTTCACTTTTTTTTCCTTCGGTCTTAACCATGATTGGCCAGTTCAAATACAAACTGTCCTTTACCTTTGCATCTCTTATCCCTTGTCTTATCACTCTTCACAGGTTGCCAAACCCTAACCCTGGGTTACTCACCTTTCTCTGATCTTACTCAGGTGCTACTGATTTGCTACTGGGGAAAGACCACCATGCCAGCTAGATATAGTACCAAGTTATGTTATCAAATGTCAATTAACCTCATTCTTACATAAGAATCCTTTTATTCTTAACTGATTAACTCCCTATCACAATCCCTACAACAGCTGTTGCAAACCTGCTCTTCTCCCCCTCAAAACATTCTCCCTCTCAACAGAGGACTCTCCCTTATGCTTACCTGAGAAAACAAACCATTGGTTGGGAATGCCCTTTTCTTTCCAGTCTGGACCTCAAAAATTCCAACCCTTTAATCACCCTTTCTCTTTTCTTTTGTTCCATTTTCTTAGGAAAAGATTGCCCCTCTTTACGCTAAGGCAAACATTCTTCTCTCCTCTCATCTCCTCCCTCTCCTCTCCTTTCTCTCCTCTCTCTTCTCTCCTCTCCTCTCCTCTCCTCTCCTCTCCTCTCCTCTCCTCTCCTCTCCTCTCCTCTCCTCTCCTCTCCTCTCCTCTCCTCTCCTCTCCTCTCCTCTCCTCTCTTCTTTCTCTTCTTTCTCTTCTCCTCTCCCTTCTCTCCTCTTCCCTCCTATCCTCATTAATTCCATATAGCTTCCAGTGCCAGGCACTCTGCTAAGCACTGGGGATACAATGAAAGGCAAAAAATAATCCTTCCTCTCAAGGAGCTCACAGACTAATGGGGGAGGCAATGGGCAGCTATGTACAAACAAGCTTTATACAAGATACATTGGAGATAATCAACAGAAGAAAGGGACTAGCTTTAAGAGAGATCAAGAAAGTCTTCTCATAGAAGATAAGATTTTATCTGGGACTTGGAGGAAGCTGGTGACAGAGAATTCTAGGCACAGGGACATCCAGTAAAAAGGCAGGTGGTTGGGAGATGGAATGTCTTATGCTTGTTTGAGGAACAGCCAGCAGGCCAGTGTCAACTTGATCACAGAGTCCATAGAGGTGAGGAAGGCTAAGAAGACAGGAAAGATAGGGAGGACCAGGGTGTGAAGGGCTTTGAATCCAAACAGAGGATTTTATATTTGAGCCTGGGGGTGATAGGGAGCCTTTGTCGTTAAATAGGGCGAGGTTATAGTCACACTTGAGACCTAAGAAGATCAACCTGATAGCTGAGGGAAGGTTGGATTGGAGCGGAGAGAGACTTGAGACAGGCAGACTTTCCATCAGCCTATTGCAATAATCCAGGCATGTGGTGATGAGGGCCTGCACCAGGGTGGGGGTGGTGTCAGAGGAGAGAAGGAGGAGTATTCAGGACATGAGATCTATGGGCCTTGGCAACAGATTAGATATGAGGGGTGAGAGATAGTGAGGAGTGGAGGGCAATACCTAGGTTGTGAGCCTGAGTAATTGGGAGAATGGTGGTGCCCTCAATAGTAATACAGAAGTTCAGAAATGGGGGAGGGTTTGATTTTGCATTCTCTGTACCTGTTAGTTGTGTGGCTATAGTGATGTGATCTACTATTCTTTACACGACTTCTGATAAATTTGCTTTATGTTCAGATTTTTTGGGGAAGATTATTATTTGCTGTAAAGTGTTGGAAACAAGCCACATTTAGGTGTTCTCAGGAAATGAATATCCCAGGGTAGGGGGAAACAAGACCCATGCAGATAATAAGAAAGAAACCTTCAAGATAAAACCCAGGCCTTCTGTCAGAGGAGGGAGGATTTAAGAACCTCAGTTGACACATAGGTTACATGTAAAATAGGAATGATAATACTGAAGAGGTTTTAGGGGTACTGGGACCCTATGAATGCCAAGGCAGAGTTGCCTGGAATGAATTCACACTCTCAAGCCTTCTCTTAGTCAAGTGGCAAAAAGTTTATTGTAACGCTTTTGTGAAAGTATGCAAGGGTCCTTATGGGAATCCTGCAAGAGATTAAGGATGGTGCTGAGGTTTATATGGAAAGGGACATGGGAAAGGAATGCCAGGATACTAATTAGATAATCTAAGGGTCCAGGTGTCTTTGGGAGCTATGAATGGGAAAATGTAGGGAGTATACCAGGCATTGAGGGAGTTGTCAAAGACATGGACCTTGGGAATCTGGCGGGAGGAAGAATCCTTGGGCCATCTAGGGACAAAAATCCTTGGGCCAGGCACCCTCTGTCTGTTCTGATAAGAGCATGTATTCTGCAACAAGAGAACATTTTCTCACAGGACAAGGGCCTACTGAGAAATTGGGAGGCTTCCAGAGAAATGATCTTAGGGCTGGGGCCCGAGCACCTCATCAATACCCATTCTACCTGCCTCACAGGTTTGCTGTGAAGAAAGAACTTTGTAAATCTCAAAGCATTATAGAATTATGAGCTATTATTAGGAGCTTAGAGGAGTGTTGCTTTCGAGAGCTGAAGAAGGAAAGAATTCTACTGAAGCTTCTCTCAAGAGTTACCTATGATTTCTTAATTGCTAAATCAAACGTTCTATTCTCAACCATAGCATTATTGTCATAGATTTAGAGGCAGAAGGGATCTGAGAAGTTATCTAATCCAACCCCTTCATTTTGTACATGAGGAAATTGATACCAGAGAGCTGACCCTGGCAAGACACTTAGTCTTGATGAACCTGAGTTTCTCTATCTGCAAAATGAGGATAACAGTACGAAACCTGACTATTTCAGAAGCATCACAAAAATCAAATGGCGTTACTGTATTTGAAAGAACTTTGAAAAAAGGTGTAAATCACTGAATAGATGTGTTATGGTAGATATATTAGTTTGGATATGTGGGCTACACCTCAGGGCTGCCATGCGCTCTCTGGGGCAAAATAAGAAAAAATGCCAAACCTTTTTATTTTTTATTTTTTTATTCTGAACTTAAGAAATAAAACAAGCATTTCCATAACAAAATAGAATAAATATAATTGGATTGCACATAAAATTGCAAAACTATTATGTACAACTGGCTTTTCCTTTTAAATATATAATAGTTATCATGTACTTCCTTTCTTTTTTTCTGTCTCTTCCCCTCTCCCCACCCTAGAGATGGATACCCTTAGACACAAATATGTATGTGTGTGCATATATGTGTACATACATACATACACATATGTATGCATGTGTATGTGTGTATACATACATGTGTGCATCTGTGTGTGCATATATACATGTATGTATATGTGTGTGTGTGGTGTATATATATACATGTATATTTGTAAAACCAGCCAAACCTTTTTAATGTGGCTATAAATTGGGCTCTAATTAGTAAGAATGCCATGTGAATGACAGTATTACTGGCATTCCTCAGTAATGTATTACTTAGTAGGAAATAATAGCATAAAATTGTTTTAAGAATCAAAAGTAAAGGCATAAATGGGTTATTTTAGAATAGCTCTCAGGATGTTATCTTACTGTCCTAGAAATTACTACTTTTTAATGACATAACATCAAAACATTTTCCCCAGGTAAGTTGGATTTTACTTACCCTTTTATTCTCCACATTAGGGGAATTCAGGTGATTAAATGTTACCAAATAAATAACTTTTTCTATTCAACAGACTCTAGATAATTTGAAGGAAGGGAAACACCATTTACGTGTGAGGCCTGCAGATATTCCTGTTGCTGAGAGAGCGTCTCTGAACTACTGGAGGACTTGGAAGTGCATCAGCAAACCTTCAGATTTTCCAATGAAAAGCCCAGCTTTCACTGGTATAGTCCCCTTCGAAGTAACTGTTTTGAGGTTCAGCTATGTTCTCTCCAGTTGCTACCTTGATCAGAGTTTCTGTGCTGTCTTCAACTGTCCCCATTCCTGTGTTAATCCTGTAGGGTTTCTTTGCATAACTTCTCTCTGGTTTCTAGGCTTTCATCTTCTAGGATCTTAACAACTCTACCTCCATAACAATTCTGGTCTGTCCCCTTTTCTCTACTTGTTTCTCCTTACCTTTCTGAGCCTCATTTTCCTAATCTTAAAAAAAACCCTACAATAATACTTGTATACCCTACTTGTCATAGTTGCTCAAAGAAAAATGTTTCATAAACCTTAAAAGTATATAAAACTAGAAATCTGAGTAGTTATTATCAGTTGTTATTAATAGTATAGCTATACCAATGGCTGAGGATCTCTACGTCACAGCAGTTGTTTTGACATCTTTTTTAAAAAAATGCTAAGCCTAAAACTAACCTGAAAATTCATGACAGAGCAAGTAATTGGGATCCCTAAGCAAAAAAATCCTAAAGGGAGTCCTGTCATCCTTCATTCATTGCCAGGTAAAGACAACTCTTTCCCTGTGCTTTGCCACATTATGGGGGCTACTTAAGACATGTTTTATCTGTGGAGAGAGAAAAGCCCTCTTGCAGGGATTGTGTCCCTTGAGTTTCCAAGCTTTGCAGGGACTTCTGGGACAGGAGTAAGAGCAATGCTGGAAACTCATTCTTTTCTTGACTACTGTTTCAATTCCCCTTTGCTTTTTCTACTCTAGGACTGCATGATAAAGCTCCCCTGGGACTCATGGACACCCCCCTCTTGGACACTGAAGAGGAAGTCCATTATTGTTTCCTGCCCCTGGACTTGATCACAAAGTACCCCACCCTGGTGACAGAAGACAATCTGCTGTGGCTGGCTGAAAATGTGGCTCTGATAGAATGCGAGTGTAGCGAGTTCCGTTTCATAGGTGATTGTAAAGCTTCTCAGGCAAGGCCAAAAGGGGCTGGGCTGGGCTGCCCTCCTGGCCACTTTTCTCACATCTATCACTTATATTTTGTTTCAAAAATGCTCTGCTTCTCTCCCTCCCCGTTAGGCCCCCAACCCCAGGTGCCCCACAAATGCAAGAGAGGGGACACAACATCAAATAATGATTTGTTCTGCTTGGCCCCTGACAGCAGAATTGGGAACAACAGTCTAAGTTGCAGAAAGGAAAATTGAGGTAGGATAAAAGGAATAACTTTCTAGAAGTGAAACAAAGGGATGGAGTTCTCCAGCATTTGAGATATTCAAAACAATGACCAAGTATCTGAGATTATGCAGAGGGAATTCCTGTTCAAGTACACTTAGACTAAATGACTTCCAAAGTCCCTTCCAACTCCTGAGGTTCTATGATTCTGATCCCACTAATGCCCATTATGGAAAAACAGCAGGCCAGACTTATACTATACCCTGGCTCAATGAAAGTGAGCATGTGAGTTGTAGCAGAGCCCAGCAACTTGGAAATGACTTGGCATTAGGCTCCCTTGTGTCCTCCCGAGGACTATTTTTACATCTTTTTTTCCAGACTGCCTGTGAACAAAGGTAGCAGCTGGAAGCTATGAGTTTTGGTGTCAAGTGTTTCTGGAGAGGTAACATAGTTTAATAGGAAACAATCTGCCCTGAACTTCAAGAAATATCACTTTTCAGGTGGTCTTACTATCATCTTGGGAGCCAAACTCGAATAAGTTCCTGCTGCTTGTCTCTACAAGGCCTCAATTTTTCTCCCTATGAGTCCCAAGTGATTACACAGAAGCTGTTCTCAACCTTTACTGACCATTGAGTAAGAAAAAGAGGCTTTAAATTGTCACGAGTTCAATAGAGTCATAGAACATAAGGGCTAGGAGGAACCTTATGAAATAGGAATTGAGTCAGCCCCTACCCCTCTACTCAGAACAGAGAATGTTAGAGCTAGGAGATGCCTTAGAGATCATCTTGTCCAACTTTATCATCTTACAGAAAAGAGAAGACAAGGATTGCCTATGAAATTAGTTAGCAGAGGATGGAATCGCCTTCCTTGGAGTTTTAAAAAAGAATATGCCCTCCTATCTGAGAGGAACTTCTCTCTTTCACCCTTCCCCATTCTACTCAGCGTTCTTAGAGAATATAAACGAGTTGAAGACTCGTCTTCATTTTGATTATATAAAAATAGCTGGATGAAGTAATACCTGAGCTAAGCTTTGAGGATAAGATGTGATTAGGATCCCAGATATTATTCCATATAGCAGTTACAAAGCAATCAGTCATATGCTTCTGAACTTCCTAGTTAATTCATGCAGGATTTCAGAGTTGACTCCATTTCTGCCAAACATATTCCAGCCCAGGCAGGGACAACCTGCAAGTACAGCCTGCCAACCAAGGCTTCTCGTCCAAACTCTTCTCTAACTGGCAAGAGAACTGCCTCTTTCTGGAATGACCCAACCTCTTGCCAAGGGATTAGAATGGTAAGTGCCAGGACAGGGTATGTTCTGCCCTGTAGGCATAGGCTTGGGAGCCCCAAACCTAACAAAACCAGCCTTAGCCCATCATACTTTTACACAGGAAAAGAAAGTGATTCTAAACATTTACCACATTTAAAGCAACAAAATCAAAATCCAATCAAAAGGGATCACAAATTATCTCAGACCAAGGACTAAGAGAATCAACACTGGAAAATTGGGGGAAAGCATAGAAAATGAAAAGAAATAATTAAAGTTTGAATAAGCACAAGACTACAAACAACTTCATTAACTCACTGTATTTTCTTTTGCTTTTCAAGTGAATTTTCTCCGCTCACAGAAGATTTTGTTACCAGATGATTTTGCCAACATTGATATTTTGGAAGCAGAAGTGGACATTTTGGAAATTCCAGAGCTCACGGAGGCAGTAAGGGTGCACAGGATGAACATGGGTATGTCCTCCAGGGAAAGCTACAACACCTTTCCCTGACTCCCATTCTAGGATAACTATGGCTTAAGCATTTTGCAAACCTTCAAGCGTTATATAGCTGGGAGTTATGAATATTACATGAGAGACACCATGTGTTTGGAAGGAGTACTAGACTTAAAATCAGAAGATCAATCTTCAGCTCTACAAGATGCATATCTCTAGACAAGTCAAATGACTTCCCTGAGCCTTAATTTTTTTCATCTGTGAAATAGGGATAAAATTTTCATTTCTTACTTTGCACATTGTGAGAAAAGTGCCTCATAAACCTTCAAGCATTAAAAAATGAATTGTTATTGCTATTAATTAGAAGGGGGGAAAAGAGCTAAAAAGTTCACCTTACTCCCACGTGCCAGATTTGATTTGTGTGAGAGTTAAGTAAAAGAAGAAAATTGATAATTGGAAACTGGGTTTTAATATAACTTGGACTCACTCAAATGGAGAAGTCAAATTTAAACAATCAAAAACTTGCTTGGAACCCTCCACCTCTTCCTTATTCCCCGCCTCACTGAGTGTAATGTGCTATCCATGTTATTGGCCATGTGCTGGGCACCAGAAATTCTCACAGTGGTGTACAAAACACAGTGGTGTGAGCATCTCCCCTGTGATTCTCCCTGGGGGAGTTTATGGTGAATGGATAAGACGTTAACATGAGCATAGAGTGTGTTTAATAAAATTGTTTGTTAATGGATGAATGAACGAGGAATGCATACAAAAAAAAAAAAGAAGAAGATCCAGAGATCTGAGAAAATCTCACAAGAACAGAGCTTAATAAATAACTTGCTTTAGGAAGCAAGTGATGAATGACGAAAAGCTGTCTAGAAAAAGAGTGCATTGTGGAAGGAAACTTGACCCTTTCCTTCTTTGTGGCCTGGAGGGAAGCCAGTTTGATAAGTTCACATATGCCTCTTCCCATAGTCTAGGGAACATGACTGGGAGTAGATCCTCCCACATGTGCTTCCTGTCTTTCTGCCCTGCTCCCTAGCCTTACAAGCTCTGGCTCTGACCTTTCCGTCACTTGTCTGCCCCTTTCTGGTCCTAACTCTGTGTGGTTCCAGCCCCACTCTTGCCTTCCCAGAGCTGTCCTGGTCCAGTTTACTACTCCTCTGAAGCCCTCTACCTTCAGGATGCCAATTTCCAGGTCTTGTGGGTCTATTAGAACTGTTTACTATCTCTATTCCAAGGAGTTCAGTGTATTAAAAAACCATCTAATTTGGAATTTATATAAATGACGTAAATATCCCATGTCTGTAAAGTTAAGCATACATATACACTTTTTTCCCTTTTAAGTAGAATTTTATTTTTCCAAATACATGTAAAGATAGTTTTCAACATTCATTTTTTATAAGATTTTGAGTTCCAATTTTCTCCCCCCCCACCTTCTGCTTTCCTCCTCTCCTCCCTCCCCCAAACAGAAAGAAATCTGATTTGGGTTATACATGTGCAATCATATTAACCATATTTCCACATTAGTCATGTGAAAGAAGAATCAGAATAAAAAGGGAAAACCATGAGAAAAAAAATGAAAATAGTATGCTTCAATCTGCATTCAGACTCCATAGTTCTTTCTCTAGATGTGGATAGCATTTTCCATCTTGAGTCTTTTGGAAGTGTCTTAGATTATTGTATTGCTGAGAAGAGCTAAGTCTATCAAAGTGATAACACAATGTGGCTGTTACTGTGTATAATGTTCTCCTAGTTCTGCTTACTTCACTCAGCATCAGTTCATGTAACTCCAGGTTTTTTCTGAAATCTGGCTGCTTATCATTTCTTTTCTTTTTTAAATTTATTTATTTTTAGTTTCCAACATTCACTTGCACAAGATTTTGAGTTCCAAATTTTCTCTCCATCTCTCCCCTCCCCCCACCCCAAGACAGCATGCATTCTGAATACCCCTTCCCCCAATCTGCTCGCCCTTCTATCACTCCCCTTCTCTTATGCCCTTCACCTTCTATTTTCCTGTAGGGCAGGATAGATTTATATACCCCATTGCCTGCATATCTTATCAAATATTTCAAAATAGTTTCAAATTTTCTCCCTCCCTCCTCCTCCCCCTTCTCTAAGACAGTAAGCAATTTGATATAGGTTATACATGTGCAATCAATACATATATACCTACTAGAAAAAAGACTAGGGGAACCCTGTCATCCCTTCCCTGCCAGGCATTGCTATGTCAGATCATAGATTTTAGAGCTAAAACTTTAGACATCATCTCATTCTGCCCCTTCATTTTGTAAATAAGAAAACTGAGGCCCAGAGAGGAAGTGATTTCCTCAGTTTCACAAGTAGTAAGGGATAGAACTGGGATTCTAACCCAGGTCCCCAATCTAGTGTTCTTCCTACCCCACCACAATGCCAAGTCTAAGCTGAGTAAATACATTTCTGTTCTATTCAGATGTTTGGGAAAAATGATTCACTGTCCCTTCAGATACCTGTAGCAGCATTTCACAGTCTAAAATTTCACTTAGCTCTTTCATTCCTCTAATCTGATCATGTTGCTCCTCTGTTCAAATCCTTTGGGTGGTTCCCTATTGTCAGTCAAATTAAGTTCCATCTCCCTAGTCTAACATTTAGGGCTGTCCACACAGCTCCCTACCCTTCTTACCAAACATACTCTCTTAGACCCTCTACATTCTAGCTGAATTGGAGGGCTTGCTCTTTCCCCTCTTCCCCAGTGTTCACACACATGTCCTATATTTGCCCACCTCCATGACTTTACTTGTGTGATTCCAGATGATCAGAACTCTCCCACTCCTCTCTCTTCCACCAAATGGTATCCACTCTACTCTATTGACCTGTTCAAATACTACCTCCTTCATTAAGCCTGCTCTCTTCTCTGCCACCAATGATACTCCAAATTGCGGACGCTGAATGATACTTTGTACTAATGCACATCATTATGTATTGTAGTTATTTAACCACCAGAGGGTGTTATAGCCCAGTTAACGTGACCCTTTTCAGCAATGAGGACCCACATGCGGGCAGTCTCACCTTTACTCTAGCAGTTATGTACTTCACCCAACACCGGAAAGAACTCAGGAAAAATGCTAAGCTTTATAGTTCTCAAAGAGAAGATGTCCCCACTTCTACCCTTTTTATAAGTGGAAGGGCATCTTCATTAGTATAGGACAGCGGTTCTCAAACGTTTTGGTCTCAGAACACCTTTACCATTGTTTAAAATTATTGAGGATCCCAAAGAACTTTTGTTTATGTGAGTTAAAACTACTGACATTTACCTTATTGGAAATTAAAGTTCTTCTCCCTTCATGCTTTATTTCAAAGGACTCTAAGCATGTGAATGTGGCATAAGAGTTTATTTTTTTGATCACAGTTTGACTATATAATACATATATGCATATATATCTATATATGTGCATATATACATGTATGCATATATGCGTGTATATATATGTTATATTGTCAAGCCATGATGGTAGTATTATATAATATGTGTATACATATATGTTTGCCTAATTAAAATATATAATATACATAGTGTTTTGCTCATTACCATAGAACCAAAAAGAATAAAACTATATATTAAATAAGTACCACAATATTTCCATGTTTTCTTTTCTGAGACCAATCAGCCTGTAATTTATAGGCATGTTCCCAACCCAGGAACTCCTGGTGCTTAAGAGCAGGATCTAATAGCATCTTCCACTGATTTTCTACTGAGAGCTTCTCAAAATATCAAAGTCCACTTGGGGAACTTAAGAACCGGTGTTCCTAACTAGTGTCTGTCTCCTCTTTAAGGGCAGCCACTGGCCATCTGAATCTGGATACTGATTCTTCCTCTGGTTACTCTACGTCAATTTTCCCCCCATCACTGCTCAACTCATAATCCTCCTCTTGCCCAGAGGTATAACTTTGGCATCACAGCCTCATGATAGAAAAGCCTCTCCGGGGCCCCAAGTAACTTTTTTGGGTCAAAGTTATCAGGTATTCTTTTTCTCTCTCCTCTCCAAGGTTGTGCCTAGGCCACACTGTCCATCATGTCTTCTCTGGCCTTTCGGTTCTTTCCATATCAGTCAATGCTGGGTGAACATGCCCACTTTTAGAAGCTTTACAGGAAGGACTGATTAAAAAAACATGGAATCAAGGACTTATCAGTTAGAGCATAGATATTATCCCTGTTACAGTTATTTGTGTATGTCTTGTGTCCTCCTACTGTATCATGAGCTCTATGACAGCAAGTACCAAATATTATTTAATATTTGTATCATTCCCAGTATATGTTATGTAATAGATTGTTGCTATCAATAAATATTTCATGAATATTTTCATGAATATTTCAATAAATATTTCATGAATATTCTGAATACTGAATAGCAATCCCACAAATATTTTCTATTACCTTAGTTAGAGCATTAACTCTGACAATAAATTATAAAGTTCAACAAAGTCCAACTCTAATGCTAATCATAGATTTGTAGATACAGGTGTCCCCAGGTTCTCACAGGCTATGTCAGTGGATATGCTTTGAATATAGTCTAGGCAACAGATTATGTCCACTAGCTAAGACCTTAGCTAAATAGGGGGAAGCTCGTCACTAGTAGGCTTGCTGGTTGGTAATGAATTCTTTGATCATGGCAATATTAGAAACAAAGAAAAAAAATTAATGGCCTCCAGTTCTAGCCAGCCTACCAGCCCTCTTTCACTTCTGTAGTGATGATGGCAAAGTAGTGGAAGAGGGGATGCTTTTGGACTGTCTATACCCAACAACTTAACTCTTAATACCCTCTATGTGACATCTTTGTCCAGTGGCCAACAAATGGACAAATGGACCTAGAGGAAATGAGTCATGTTGACCTTGACATTCTCACTATAAATGAAACCAGAAAAGAAAAAAGAAGGTCCAGCTACATGACAGGATGGTCATCACACAGCTTCTTCTTGGATAGGCAAATAAAGAAACTGATTTTGCCATGTTTCCAAAGGCAAGAAGAACCATCATTTCATGCTACCCTTGGTCATCTTTTATTGCAGTGCTGATGGTAAGTACTTACAAAAAGATCATTGCAGCATGTACCGACATCTGTTTCAGAGTATGAGAAAGTAGAGAAATTTCATGAAGAACTCAACATGATCTTCCAAATTAAATCAATGTATACTTTAATAGTTTATATCTTTGATGCAAAGGTAACCACTGACCAGAGGCAAAGGTAAAAAAAAAGACATGCTAGAAAACATGATTCAGAAGTTTTGCAAAAAACGAGACAGACCAAAGACTTGTGGACCTATATGTATATATGTATGTATGCATATATACATACCAGTATAGGAGCCATTTTCAAATTAACTATGTATAGTCACAACATCAACTTGTTAATAGTTAAAATAATAAAAATGAGGAATACAATTGGGGAAACCCCAACTTGATATATTTTTAAGGCTTTTGACACTGAAAAAATGGCTAAAAGAACAGATATAACTCAGGCTATTACCATTTCCTTGGGAAGTTTAACCAATGTAAATCAATTACCACAATGAGGAGATTTTTTGAAACCTAGAATTGTTTCAGGCAACAAACACTTGATTTTCTTGGCAAATAGAGACCATTGGCAGCTAAAGAAAACTATGGTTTAGAATATAAACTCATTTGTAAAATCTTATGGAAGAAGATGGCAAAAGATTATAAGCTGTATTACCTCATAAAATAGAATCAGTACAGGAAAAAGCAGGTTTATAGAAAGCTTGGCAAGAGGCCTAGTTGAGCCAGATCACCCCCAAGAGCATTGAAGGATAAAATTGGAAGGAGGAAAACATGAAAAATGAAAAAGATCTGTCATGATCTCTATAACAAATTATGTTCTCCATTAATGAACAGTGGAACTACTTGTCCTATTTGAACTCTTAACATAACCCCTGGTATGCTGCATGAGGAAATAGAAATACCACTAAAGAAAATAAATATGGAGGAAATAACTGGTCTAGGCCAAGTATATGAGTCCCATGGTAGAGGGGGCATTTTTGAAGGCATTAAGGCATTAAGGGATCTTAAAGATATCTGAAAAGAGTGATGATAACAGGTGCTTGGAAAAAAATGGTTCATTACTCCCCCAAAAAAAGTAATCAAGGAAATTCAATAACTATTGACCCATAGAATAATTGACATTCATATAATGGTTTTAAAGCTTTGCAAAGTACTTTATATCGATTATCTAATTTGAACTTTACAACAGTCCCTTGGCAGGATACAAGTATTATTCTCCACGTTATACAGATGAGGAAACTGAGGCCCAGAGAGGTTAAGTGACTTACCCAGGGCTACACAGCTACTAAATGTTGGATACAGAACTTATACTCGGATTTTCCTGACTTCAGGACCATCACTCTATTCACTGTGTCACATTGCCCACTTTCTCATCTACAAAATCCTTGTGAAAATAATCTACACATGTATAGAGGCCATTATTGAAATGGCTTAAGAAGGTTATAGGCTCTCTCAAACAGTGTTCTAGAACAAACTGCATCTTCAAAGCATGCAACTAAAAGGGGCACCAAATGCAAGATTCTTCTGTGCTGAGTTTTATACTATAGAGATTTTGGATTCAATAGAGCAAAATACCACCTTAAATGCTCTCCTCCAGGGAGGTATGTATCTCTCATGTGTTGTAATTATAGAAGCTTCCTTGAAAGATGTGACAACTAGATAACTTTGTTCATTAACAGTGATGATTAATATCAAAGAAGGCATAAAATAGCTAAATGTATGTCTGACGAAGGTGTTTGTCACTAAATTATTCCAGCAGAGTCCAAGTAGAAGAGAGATTGTTAATAGATGGTGATATTCCACATATGCTCCTGTTTCTATATGGATATGTTGATGGGACCAAGCCCTGGAACCCTGTAGAGCTTCTTAAATGAGAGCCATAATTACTCAAAAGAATTCAGCAGCAGCTGGGTGGTACTGTGGATGGAACACTGGCCCTGGAGTCAGGAGGACCTGAGTTAAATCCAGCCTCAGACACTTGACACTTATTAGCTGTGTGACCCTGAGCAAGTCACTTAACCCCATTGCCTAGCCAAAAAAAAAAGAAAGGAAAGAAAAAAAGAAAGGAAGGAAGGAAGAAAGGAAGGAAGGAAGGAAGGAAGGAAGGAAGGAAGGAAGGAAGGAAGGAAGGAAGGAAGGAAGGAAGGAAGGAAGGAAGGAAGGAAGGAAGGAAGGAAGGAAGAAAGAAAGAAAGAAAAAGAAAGAAAGAAAGAAAGAAAAAGAAAGAAAGAAAGAAAGAAAGAAAGAAAGAAAGAAAGAAAGAAAGAAAGAAAATTCAGTCGAACTATCCACCTAGGAAAAAGCAAGTGGATGAAGAATGCCTGTTGTTCAGGCTATGATGTATAATTGAATGGATAGCGCCTACAGTTGATCCAGCAGTACATCCATCTTAGACAAACATTGCAGATAGACAATGAACTGGGTGAAGAATTGGACAGGAAGAAATGAGACTGGGTTACACATGGGACATTGTGTAGCACTTTTATTGACTCCAAGGTTTTTTTTTGAAACATAGGCCCATCATTTTAAAATCAATGTTCTAGTCATGAAATACCACAGTTTCAAAAAAAAAAAAAGTTCTAGGTCACACAAAGGGAAATGGAAAGGCACAAGGTGGATATGAATAGACTGCAATGTATTACTAACAAAAAAATTACGCAAGAGAAATGATATAAAATCAGATGCATGACAGGAAATAGGTGGGTTGGCCATGAATCAAGCTTGAGGGCTATCTGATGGATAGTCCACATGCTTCACTGAGATCCAAGCAATATCTAGAGAGCTATAGAAAGGCCCCATACACATTGGGTGGACTCATGGAAGATTTATGGAAGAACATGGATTAAGAGTTGAACCAGATGAGAAGGGGGATGGGAATAGATTTTAACTACCATCATTGGAGTGATTATCCATATCATTGTGATCACAGATCCATCATCAAAGTATAAATAGAGCTGGAAAAAAAAAGCAGATTAATCTTCACCTCTTATTTTATATATGAGGATACTTATAGCCCAGAGAAGTTAAGTCATTTGCCCTAATCATGTAAGTATTAAACAGCAATAGTCAAGGGGGATCTATGTGCTACAGAAAGAAGATTAACCCAAATAACCATATTGATCTTTACCACAGAAGAACATTATGTTCCATAGAGACTTTCTAGCTATGTCTGTGATAGGAGATATGAATTCAGGGAGCTTCTGTTTTTCACATTGTCCTGTTATGAGGTAGGAGCTAACTGGTATATTGATATACAGCCCTGGTTAGGGAACTGTTGATTCCAGGCTCTGAGTTGAATCTGGAAGTAGAAGGCACAAGGTAAACTTCAGTGAATGGGACTAGGTGGTTTCCATGGTGGCCATCATTTCTGAGTGAAAGACACAATTGATGAAATAAGTTGCAAAAGAAAAGTCTTGGTCTCTAATCTCAAACAAGATCCTATCCATAGTTGATAGCCTAGCTAAAATGTGAACCTTCTATGAACGCTTATCTCATCCCTCTAACTGGAGGTGATTTCTCTATCATCTGATCTCAGAACTATTTTTCCTCCAATGAATTTATCATATTCTAATTTCTGTTTGTGCACATGTCTTCCTTCCTTTCACTAAAGTTTAACTTCCTTGAGGATAGGGACTATATCTTATTTATTTCTATATTTCCTCTAGCCTCAAACACAATGAATTGTACTTTGTAGCTGTAGAACCACTGACAAATGACTTCACTTCTGTAAGCCTGGTTCTTCATCCGTAAGATGGTGACAATTCTTGTGTGACCTGTGTGACCTTAGAGGGTTATCGTAAGGGAAATGTACTGTTCTTATTGTACATGGTAAGCATTCAGTAAATGTTGATTGACTAAACAAATTGGGGTTTATGGCAGAAAACATCTTTCCAATATCATTTTGTCATCAATAAGTAATACTTGGTTAGAGTCCTCTGGCAGGTAATAAATGGCAGAACTAAACCTAACTCAAGGAAGTTTTAGCAAGCAGTTATTGGATACTTAGGAATGCTTCCCTTATATTTTTCTTCCATGCAGGAAATTGTTCCCAAACCACATGTCACCTTCCAAGTCCTGGAAAGGGGGGAAGAGCAGCCAACCTGGAATCTGTGAAGCCCCTATATATGATGGCCCTTGGCCTGCTGGTCAAATACCCTGATTCAGCACTGGGACAGCTCCACATTGAAAGCACTTTAGATGGAAGCAAACTGTATATTACAGGGAATGGTGTTCTCTTTCAGCATGTCAGGTAAATCCCTGAAGATTTCTCCTCTGGGAAAAGGATCCCATTGGAAATCTGATTTTAGCTTCGAGTTTTACCACAAATAAGACCCTAAGCTGCCCAGAAAGAGTCCCTAAACTGCAGAGGGATGTGATGACGTCCATTTTCTTGCTTTGTTGACCAGTGTGACACTAGAATCATGGAAAGAAGCGTGATTTCAACATGGGTTCTAATGTTGCTTTTCTAAGAATAAACTAGCTCCTTAAGCTCTTGTAGGGACAAAATCCAGAAAAGCAGCACAGAGAGCCAGGAATTGGAAGGTAGTTACTTTATTCATAGCTCCCATGCTTGAGGCCTGCATAATACGTAAGAACATTACTTACCCAACTTGTATATTTTTATTCATTGTGCTTCATCCCAAAGAGGAACCACTCATGTGAACTATTAGGGAATCACTGGTTCAATTTGGATAGCTTCTGGAATGATCACTTGTTAACCTGATCCTTAGGAGATCCTGAAGTTCCTAGAGTATTCTTATAAAATATGACCACAATTTCTTAAATTTTAATCAGGAAATAATATGTTGGAGATGATAGATTGAAACTAGTGCTATGTTCTTGTTATTATTGGTTTAAAGAATAAACATCCTCAAAGTTGAGAGTGAAGAGTTTGGGGGTGGGGGTAAGGCTCAAACTCTCCATGACAAAATTTCTCTTTTGGATAGGAATTGGCTGGGAACCTGCAGGCTGCCCCTAACAGAGACAATTTCAGAGGTATATGAACTCTGCTCCTTCTTGGACAAGAGGGACATCACCTATGAACCTATGAAAGTTGCTCTGAAAACACATCTTGAACCCAAAACTCCAACTCACAAGTTGCTTGGTAAATAAGTATATTGATCAATCTGCAATTTAATATCAAGGGTAGGGGTGTCAAAGATTGTGAAGATGTGGTAAGTAACATGAAACAGGATATGGGCTAAGGACAACATATGAAAGAATCAAAAACCTAGGGTCAGAAATTGAAGTCTCTGTTTAGAGGACAAATTCCTCTTAGGATAAGAGCCTGAGTGTCAAAGCTCCCTATGTTATCCAAACAACTACAGATAGCAAACATTTGATCATTATTGTCATAAAATAATAGCTGTCAAACATTCATAAGGCCCTGAACACTCTATAAGGTGTGGAAAGTAATCATATCTGCCTTTGGTGAGCTTACATTATATCGTACTTAACCCCAACTGATCTCAAGTGAAAAGTAAATAATTTAGTTTGGGCACAGCTGTATTACATGTAAACATCAATTTCTTTTACACATCTAGATATACCTTCTCTCTGTAGAAATTTTAGTGGCTCTAGAGTGACAGCTCTACAAACATGTACAACCATTACCACCACCACCAATGCTCAGACAACACTTAGATTCATTCTTTTTTTAAAATGTTAATATTTTGGTTTTCCCCAATTACAGGTTAAAAACAATCTTTAACATTTATTTTTTTAAATTTTGAGTTCCAAATCCCCTTCTTTGCCTCCCTCCCTTGTCCTGTCATTGAGAAGGCAAGCAATTTGATAGAGGTTATACAAGTGCAGTCATGCAAAGCATATTTCTGTATTGGTCATGTTGTGAAAGAAAATACAAAACAAAAAAGAAAAGAAAAGAAAAGGAAAAGTTTTTAAAAGTATGCTTCAATCTGCATTCTGATACTATCAGTTCTTTCTCTAGAGGTGGATAGCATTTTTCATCATAAGTTCTACGGAACTGTCTTGGATTGTTATATTGCTGAGAATGGCTAAGTATCCACAGTTGATCACAATATTGCTGTTACATCTTAGATTCATTCTTACCAATTTCTACGAAATGTTGCAAACACTGGAAGTAGCCACTTAAGAACCAGAGTCAGCCCTTGAGATGGAGTTGGAGAATCATCTACCCCAGGGGTGGGAAGCCTTTAGACTTGAGGCCACATGTGGACTTCTAGGTCTTTGGGTGCGGACTTTTCACTGAGTCCAAGTTTTACAGAACAAATGCTTTTATTAAGGGGATTTGTTCTGTGAAGTTTGGATTCAGTCAAAGGGCTGCACTTGAGGACCTAGAGGGCCACATATGGCCTTAAGGCTGCAGGTTCCCCACTCCTGATCTACCCCAAATGTCCACTTGAATAGAGTAGATTGCTTTAGAGACAGTAGTTCCTGAGGGAACCAGACTTCTTAGGTCCCTGATGCTCTCCCTAGAATAATAACTCACATTTCTTTGGTATTTACCACTTAAAAAGCACTTTCATAACAGAAACCTTGTGAAATACAAAGTACAAATATTATTATCCCTATTTTACACATTACGAATGACCAAATGTCCACTACATTGGCATATCCAAATCTGATTCACTGAAAGATATCTGTAGAGAAAAGTGTGGCAGGAGCACTTTGTGTGAAGAGCATCAGAGGTCACTTTGTCTCCCCTTGACTAAGTAAGCGCAATCCTTTTGATCACAACTTTAGAGCTAGAAGAGAGCTTAGAAATCTTTTGGTACATCATCTGGTCTCTGTCTTTTTTAATGGATAAGGAAACTTAGGTACAGAGAGGTTAAATGACTTGCCTAAGATCACATAGATGGGTTTGGATACAGACCCACAGACTCTGAATTCTGTGCCTTGTCCATGGCATCCAGCTATCTCTTAGAAATCAGAAATGTTGGGGACTGAGTTCATGACCTCATACTTGTGTGGCCTCATAATGATGTTGAATCTCGGGGTACTGACTGCATAAGTCCTAGAAATCTCCTACCTCATTCCCCCTTCTGGTTCTGTGATATCTCCATTTTAATCGATTTTTCTTAGATGAAGCTTGGACAGCAGAGATCACAGTCTATTCACCTCATCAGATTGTGAAAGTTTATGTAGGAAGCCATTGGTATGCAACATCCCTCCAGACCCTACTGAAGGTACTGCTCTCTGTGGGTTTGCCTTTCTCCTCTTCCTTCTGAGGTGTTTACTGTACTTCACTAGAGCTAGTCACCATGGTCCATAATAATAATAGTTTAAATTTTACATGGGACTCTAAGATTCATAAAGTACTTTATAGTTTTCATTTCATTCTTATAACACTGTGAAGCAGGCACTGTAAATATTATTATTCCCATTTTCTAGATGAGAAAAGTGAGGCTTAGAGGCTAAGTAATAACTTTCCCCCCTTCATCAAGGTAATAATTGGCAGGTGTGCAATCCAGACTGATGTTTTCTGTCCCTAAGTGCACTGCTGACTTTGCTGTGCCATGCATGGACGGCTGTAGTAAATTTACAAATGTCTACCCATGTGCTTTTTCTACCAAAATCCAGTGGCCCTGAGGAGTAGGATGATGGGCTGAGGGGGGAGGGTCCCTCTTGTTTGGTTTAGGATTGAGCACACTGGGTCAAGGGTGATTTTCAGGTGCCATCAGAGAAGAGCTGCCCTAGGGAGCAGGGGGAAGGCTAGAAGCCCAGCAGAGACTTACCCGTTGAGATGTTAGCTGGAAAGGTCTCCTATGCTTTGGCTTCCTGCTAATTTAGTCTGGCTGACAGGGAAGGTGGAAGACCCCAAAGTATCTTCTGTTGGAGGATGATGCAGGAAAATGAGATTGGAAACTAGGAAACCCAGAGGAGTCCTGCCTCTTTACTAAGGAGATGAATGCTTGGAACTAAGTCTGATTTCCTTCCCCAGTATCCAGAACTGCTGTCTAACCCCCAGAGAGTGTATTGGATTACATATGGACAGACTCTGCTAATCCATGGAGATGGACAAATGTTCAGACACATTCTCAATTTCCTTAGACTTGGCAAACTGTTTTTACCAACTGAATTTAAGTAAGTGAAAAAAAAGGAAAATTACCTGAAGAAGGTTGCCTAGATTGATATCAGCTCTATCCAGAGGAGATCTATTTGGGGCCATTGGGAAGGGTAAATTATTTCTGATATGTGAACTGAGGTATTCTCCAAAAGAGATGAAACAAGAATTCTGGTTTTGTTACAGAAGGAAATTTAAAAATCTTAGAATTGGAAAGGGACCAAGACATAATCAAATCTCTGATTTACAGATGAAGGCTCCTGAGCCCAACAGATATCAAGTGACTTACTTGCCTAAGGCCACAGAGTAAGAGACAGAACTGGGATTAGAAACCAGGTTTTCTGTCACTTGGTCCCTATTTGGTTTACTACAAGATGCTAGCTAGTGATGCTGTAGCACTAACATTGTAGAGGAACATGGAACCCCAAGAGCAAAGCCGTATCAAAGACTTGGGAGATTAGAGGTAGTTGAAATTATCTTCTCTCTTCCCAAATTTGCCTGAAGCCTGTGCCTGGACCTCACCTTTGCCCCGAGGGTGCTTAATGCTTCTTTAATTGTACTAGTGTTAGAGATGTCAGAATGAACTCAGAACTCAGAGCACACTTCCTGTCCAGCCTAGAATTGGAACCATTTTGCCAAACTGACATGCCTATTATTTGCAGAGAATGGCCTCTCTTCTGTCAGGAGGTTGAGGAGTACCGAATTCCCTCTCTATCAGAAGCCCTTTCTCAATGTGAGGCTTACAGGTAAGGAAAATCTTCTCAGGAAGTAGAGGCAAAGGGTTCTGTTACATGCGTCCCTTTAGGCAGAATTCCCTAATCTCCAAAACACACTTGTTCTATATAGCATAGACATAAAACCAATGCAGAGAGATATCTAATAGAGGACAATACTTCTGAGATATTAATAAACTCTTCCAGAACACATTTAAAAATAATAATGCATATTCCTATAGTATTTTATGGTTTACAAAGCACTTTCTTCAAAAAAAACCCTGTGAAGTAGGTAGTAGATCATTATTATTGAAGGGTATTTGGAGATACTCTGTCTCATTTGACAGATATGGAAACTGAGTCCCAGTCAGAGGAAATCTCATGCCCAAGTCACATAGTGAGACTTCAGGCAAAGTTAGGACCAGAGCCTTGGTCTTCACCTTCCTAATCCAAGGCTCTTTGGGCCATTTCATGCCATAAAGTCCTACCTGTGGCCAGGCTTACCATGACATCCTGGAGAGGAGGGACCGCAATTCCCCCCTCAGGGAAAAGGAGGTGGGGTTCCAGCTGGGAGGAGACCAGGCACAAACCAAAAGGTGAAGTCAGGCTGGGACCAAAGTGACTTGCTCCAACAAGTGTCTCAGGTCCGGGATTCTAGTGCTCTGGCAGAGACTAGACCAGGAAATCAGAGTGCAAGGTGTGCCAAGGAAGAAATGATTCGTCTGAATCAGTCAATAAGTCTGAATCAAATCCATTCCTGTTAAGGTTCCCTGAGTTCCCTACCTCCACTGGGCACTGCCCAGCTACCAAGATGGTGGTGAGGCCCCAGCGCCAGCCTGGGCTTGTACCATGAGGCCTCTGCCGCCCCTGCTTCTCACTTTCTTGAGTGCTTTCCCATCCAGCCCATAGGCAGCCTCATAGATGGGGTGATGGGGAACATCTGCTCACTGACTGGATCCCAGTTGGGTTTTGCAGATCCTGGACCCAGGAGAAGGAGTCTGAGAGTGAAGCAGCTTTTCCCATCCGGAGATTGCATGTAGTGACTGAAGGTCCACCTGTTGAGCTCAACCGAGGCCCTAAGGAAGTAAGTACTCAAGGCATGCTGAGGATTCTTCCTGGCCATGGTGAGCCAGAGACCTCCCTCGGCTCCTGGCCCCTGGCAGCTGCATGACTCTGGGCCAGCCACTTAATTTCCGAGTTTCAGGTTCCTCATCTGTGAAATAAAGATCACATGTGCACCATTTCCCATTATAGGTGCTGGAAGCAAAGGACCCTGTAAGCATTAAAGCATCATAGGAACGTTAGCTATTATCATCACAGCAGGTGGAATTTATATAGTGCTTTAAGGTTGGCAAAGTACTGTAGCAACAACAATAGCTAGCATTTATGTAGCACTTAACTATATTCCAGGTGTTGTACGGTGATGTATGATTATTACCTCATTTGTTCCAATAGCCTGGGAGGTAGGTATTATTATTATCCCCACTTTACATATGAGGAAACTGAGGCAAAGAGAGGTTAAGTGATTTGCCCAGAGGTCAAACAGCTAGTAAGTATCTCAGGCTGCATTTATATTCAGGTCTTCCTGACTCCGGGTCTAAAGCCCTGTCCACCTAGCTGCCTCATCATCAGCGCCTCTTGCTACTTTGGCAGGTTCTTCCAGCATTGGCTAATTGCCTGCGATTCATTAGAGTCTTCAGAAAACTTTACTTGTCATGGACAGGGACCGTTGTTCACTGCTGTGTGAGAGTCCTTTTGGATTTCCTCGGTACTTGTAAATAATACCAATTAATATCACTGCCATTGTTGGAGAAAACCTGTCCTTGTGACAACCATCTCTGGCTCCCCAAATGATGGACCAGAGCCCAGATTAGGGTAATTTATATCAGGTATGAGCTCCTCATGGGACTGTATCACTGATTAGTCTTTGGGTTGAGAGACAACATGGAATAATAATGGCTTTAATTTCTAGAATACTTTGAGAGGACTGCATTTGAAGTCAGAGGACTTGGGTTCAAATCCTCACTTTGCTACTCTCCCCCCACCCCCCTTACCCTGAATGAGTCATATAAACTCTCTGGGGCTCAATTTTCTCCTCTGTAAAAAGAGGGGTTTGAAATAGGTGAGCTCTCTATTACCTTCCAAATTTAAACCTGACACAAGCCCTGAAGCAGGTAGTACAGGGATCATCACTACCATGTTATGAATGAGGGAAATGAAGGTGAGAAGGGAGGTAGCTTGCTCAGCGTTGCAGAGCATGTATGTCTCCATGTCAGGATCTGAATCCAGGTCTTCTGATTCCAAGACCAGGGTTCTTTCCCTTATGCTGTACAACTTCTGGTGGACTCAGAAATTGGCCAAGACTACTCTGTTTTCTCCTTTTCCAGACTGCCCCCTGCGTGCCTGTGGAGTTTAGAGATTGCTGTGGGACTCCATGGAGAAAAATGAAGGGAGTGCCAGCCAGGCCAGGCCTAACAGAGGAGAATGAGCAGTACACTAGAACAATCCACTTGTCCCTGTGCAGAGGTGTCAAGAGAACCAGTAACCCTGGGGTGTATCCTCAGTGCCCAGGCCTGTTTACCAACCCCAGGCATTGGAGCCATCCTGAGAGCCCTCCAAAAAAGAAGTGCTCCGCAGTCAATATCATCCCCAAATCAGAAACTTCAGACCCTCCTGTTACCCCCATGCAAAAGCTGATTTCCTTGGTTCGAGAGTGGGACATGGTCAACTGCAAGCAGTGGGAATTCCCACCAGTGGCGCCCTCAAGAAGCACAAGCCTAGAGGAGCCCACTCCACGGCCCCTCTCTGGGAACGAGGCAGCTTGTCAGCTCAGTCCAGCCATCGCTTCTTGGAAAACTCGACCAGCTGCCACAGAGAAGACTCCAAGTCCCCAAGCCATGACCATTGCCAAGGAAAAGGGCTTGGAGCAAATATTCAGGCCGTATCTCCCAATAAAAAGAGCAGTTGCCTTGAAAGACTGGGCAAGGCAGGGAGCAAAGGAGAAAGGCAAGTGCAAATAAAACAAGCCTTTATTAAGTATCTGCTATAGACAGAACACAAAATGTACACGAGCCAGTGTCTGCCCTCATGCAGCTTGTAGTTTATTAGTGTCCTCAGGCACACTTTTCTTATAAAACCTAGGAAACTCAATGAGGACAATCAAGGAATTATCTTAGTAAGAGTTTTCAGAAGCTTAGAGCCAACAGGGACTTCGGAATCATTTTGTTCAGGCATTACCCAAAGTACTTTGTGTGGATCTCCAGTATTCTAGGAAATGTGAGATGGGGAGGGGTTCCTGGAGGAAACTGGAACACCAGCAAGTATCACCCCCAAAGAATTAAATGTGAAATTCTATATCATAAGGCTAGTACATGCAGCAGTTTTCAGCATGAAAACAGATTGACTTCTATATTGCTCCAAATACCCCCAACTCCCTCCATACTCACAATGTGTCTTCCTGGACCAACCTTTATGGTTCCCATCTGTATTTTTCAAACTCAAAAGAGTTCCATGGCTAAGTTAGTTTGTCAAAATGCTGCTGGTTCCAGATCTTCCTTCTACAGAGGAAGACCGAGGGTCCAGGGGCAGAAAGTGACTTATCCAAGGTCATGTACCAAGTTAATGGCAGAATCAAGATTAGAACTCAAGTCTCTTGACCCCCAATTCAGTCCTCTTTCTTTCTACCATATTACCCTCTTTCTCATTATATTCTTTAGCTGCCTTCTTCATCCTTGCTGATGGATCCCTGACACTGCTTTGAGGTGCAGGGTGAGAACACCCACCCCTCCATCTATAAGACCTAGATCCTGTTGGGACATGCGGTATGGACACAAAGTAGCCAGAAAGTTCATTACAGCCCCGATGTCTCTATAAAGGAAAGCTCTCCAACCTTTAGTTCCCTAATCTCTAGTGAGATTTGCTGCCTCCAAATTCCAGTGCCTCACATTGTTTCCAAATAATTCTCCCCCCTCTCTGTTCAATTCCTGCTTCTGATCCACTTTACCCAGGCTCTAAATTCATGTCTCCAGGAAACCAGTTTCAACCAAACATCCACCATAGTGGTTTGGCCATTTTGGAAGCAGTAGAGCACAGATAAGTCCCACGTTTTGGCACCTATGAAGAAATTTTGCACTGGAATCCAGGGGAGGGAAACTGGTGCCAGCAACAGAGCTGAGAGTATGTTGATGGCCTGTAACCATGAGGATTCCTCTCTGGGGGAGAGTCTCCACTTCACAGACATATATTACATGTTAGAGCTAATAGGGACCTATGCATATAGAACATTAGAATAGGTTAACGGTATTAAAGGTGGAAGGCCCCTTAGGAATCTATTTCAACACCCTCATTCTATAGATGAAGGAACTGAGACCCCAACTAGGACAGTGACTGGCCAGGCCTAGAACCCGGGTTCCCTAGAGGAGCCCTTACTTCCTTCATTCTCGGTCCATTTATTCTTCCTTAGAAAATAGGACCAGCTACCACAAAGAAGACTCCAAGTTTCCAGGCAGTGATATCTTATTGCCTTATGGGAACTAAGGCATATGTTTCCTCCATAGAAACCTCCATCCCTGAGCAGCCTGTGCTGGAAGCTGATGAGCTGAATGACATGGGGATCATTCTCAAAGTGACCCATCCCCCAGTTGTCGGGAGTGATGGCTCCTGCACATTCTTTGAGGACAGTGTGGTGTATACTACCCAGCTCGACGACATCAGACTGGCCCCATCTAAGACCAGCCCTCTATCCAGAGGTGAGAGAAGGGATAAGGAAAAGATAACCAGGGAACTTGCCTCTGTCAGAACTTCCCGAGTCCCCTCCCATTTGAGGAAACTGAGGGCCATAGAAGTTCAATGACTTGTCCAAGGTTGCATAGACAGTACTGAGCAGAACCAGGATTCACATCAGCTCGTTCAACTCCAAATCCAATGCTCTTTCTCTAATCCCATACCAGGTTTCTCCCTGGAGATCAAGGAATTTCAGGCCAAAGGATGGCCTTTGAAGATGGGGACTTATAGATAAAGGGCCATGTATGGCCTGAGACTCCAGAGAGGCATATTTGGGAGCCTTGCTTCAGTATGATAACCAGAAATGGCAGGCAGAAAAATCAGGCTGGGATACGTGGTAATACAGTCTTTTCCAAGTGGTCCTTCTTAAAGAGCCTCATTCCAAGGCCCCCATATGGAGACTGGGACTCCACAATAATCTGTTGGTTATCATGTGATATAACACTGGCCTTACCCTTTTTCTGCAGAGGTGACTTTCCTAAGTTTCTCTCTGTCCCGGGAGGAGATGTTTTATGCCCGAAAATGCCACTGTTTCCTGACTGACATCATCTTGGATTCCATTAGACAGAAGGACCCCAAAGCAGTGACAGCCAAGGTGGTATCCCTGGCCAACAGGCTATGGGTATGTATGACTTTCCCTCTGTCTTTGGACCTTGGGCTAGGGCTAGGCCTAGAGGTGAATCTGGATCTCTGCTAGCTTCAGTCTAGGGATGTTACCTATGGCCCTGTGAGAAGCCTCTGCAGATGCCTCTCTTGGGTTGAGAAATCCCTACTTCTTCTATCCCCTTACCCAGCAACAAGAGGAGGATACAAGCCAGGAGTGGGCACCACACCTGGGCCTGGGAGAAATATGTGACGTGGAGTAGGGGAGTGAGGGAACAAGCTGAGCATGGGGGGTTTATGGGGAGGAGATTGCTTGGTAAGGAGGAAAAGGGAAGAAGCAAAGCATGCCTTAGAACAGGGAACATTAGATCCTGAAGGAACTGACACATGGGCTCCTGGGCGGCAGCCCAGCGCCCCCTCCTCCACCTCTGAATGCCTTCCTGGTGGTGTAGGGTAGCAGGGGACAGATGCTCACTTGTGGTTTTCCTGGCAGACCCTTCACATCACTCCCAAACAGTTTGTGGCAGATTTGCTGACCATCGCAGGCTTTAAGGATGACAGGCACACCCAGGAACGGCTGCACAGCTGGGTAGAGGTAAGAGTTCTCCCAGAGCTGGCCCAGGCCACGCTAGGAGCTCCTCAAGGAGAGCCTTGAAAAGTCGCTGATGGGGCAGGTAGGCAAAGGTGTGAGAGTGAGAAAGTTCTCAGTGGTCTCAGAGGAAATCCTATAACTTCCCTGCCCATCATCTCCTGAGGGGAAATGCCCAAGCAGGCAGGAATTGACATCTTACCTCTCTACACATGAGGGATAAGAATTAGTAGTGCTGAGACCCATACAGAATAGAAACCTAAGTGAAAGAATCAGGGATGGCTGCACACATGAATCCTGCTCCTCCTGGGCCTTCCTCTGCCTCCTGCCATGCCATTTCAGGGCAACAAGGCCTCTAGGTGCATATTAGTTAACCAAACATATTAAGGGCCTACAAGGGACTGGCAGCATCCCAATGTGGAGAGATGGATGGATGTGGAATGGGAGGACCTGGCTTGTGAATTGGGCCACTTCAGGCATGAAGTCATTGACCCCCACTTTCATCCTGTGTGGTGGACAAGATTGTCCTTAAAATCCCTTCCATCTCCAGCATTCTCTATGCAAGACCCCATCCCAGGGCAAAGCCAGAAGCCCTGGAATAAGGGGCACTGGCCACCTGATCATTCTGAAGTCACAACAGGACTCGTTTATATAGTACTTGCACAAGATCCTTAAGTCAGGTAGTTCTGGGCCAAGCTTCAGACTCCAGCCTCCTGAGGCTGAGTCCAATGCTTTTCTCATCAGGTCATGGAGAACCTACTGTATACAAGGCATTATGGATACTAGACAGGGTCCTTGGCCTCAGGAGTTTATGATCTAGCAGCATGGCCTGGCTCGGCAAATACATTTCTCTCTGGCTTAGGACCCAGTGGGTTCTTGTTCATTGCCAGGCCGAACTTATAGGGTCAGCAAGACTAACATAAAACAGAGATTGGGGTAGGGTTCGTGTGGAGAAGACCAAGAAGACCAGGGGTGGGGTGGCAGGAGGAATGAAGGACCAGGACAGGTTAGATTTTCTTTGCAGTGTAATCACGAGAGTAGCTGGGCTTGGAAGAACCTAGCACAGGAGAGAGCTCTTTCAATTAAAAATGCCTAAAGTTCTTTGAGGGCACAGTTAGGGATGAAAGTGATTGGAGTTGCTGCTCCTCATCTGGCAGAAAAGCCCTCAAATTTGGCTCAAGTAGTCACATCAGAAAAAGGCAGCAAAACCTGGGATAGCCTACCCATTGAGCAATAGTCAAGATCCCCAAAGATCTCAACGAACTAAAATGATGGGCCAAACCTAAGAAGATGAAATTTTTTAAGTCCTGCACTTGGGTTCAAAAGATAGTTGCACAAGTATTGGACCTGGGAGTGGTCCAATGTCATCAGACACCAATTGCTGTGAAAAATGTGGAGGAAGAGGGGCCCAGAGAGCTCAGAGTGAATTGACAGTGGAGCACGGCAACCCAAAAAGTTAATGTAATCTTTGAATCACTAGAGAAAAAGTGTCCAGTAGTAGACGTTAGTCAATCAGTCAACATTTAGTAAGCACCTTCCATACTTGAAGCTCTGGGCTAAGCCCTGGGGATACACAAAGAAGCAGAAGACAATCCCTGCCCTCAAGGAGCTTACAGTTTAATGGGAGAGACAACATGCAAACATACATGTACAAACAAGCTATATCCAGGATAAATAGGAAACAATTAACAGAGGGAAGGCACTGGAATTAAGAGAGCTTGGGGAATGCTTCCAGTAAAAGATGGGATTTTAGCCAGGAGGGAAAGGAAGCCAAGGAACACAGCAGGTAGACTTGAGGAGAGAGCTCTCCAGGTGTGAGAAACAGCCAGAGAAAATACCTGCTCCATAAAGTATCTCTGGATGGAAGAGCACGTCGCAGGGAGTAAGCGTAAGAAGGCTGGAAAAGTACATGGAGGCTAGGTCTGAAAGGGTTGTAAATGTCAAACAGTGTTTTATTTTTGATCCTGGAGGCAACAAGGAATCACTGGAGCTTACTGAATAAGGGAGAGACATGGGGAGACCTGCACTTTAGGAAATCCCTTTGGTGGTTGAATGGAGGATGGGTTGGAGTGGGGAGAGACTAAAGGCAGGCAGACTCACCAGCAGGCTATTGTAATAATCCAGGTGTGAGGTGATGAGGGTGTGCACCAGGATAGGGGCAGTGTCAGAGGAAAGAAGGGGAAATATTGCAACGGTAAAATCAGTAGCCCTTTGCGGTAGCCAGGTGGCACGGTGGATAGAGCTCTGGCCTTGGAGTCAGGAGGATCTGAGTTCAAATCCGACCTCAGACCAGACACTTGACACTTACTAGCTGTGTGACCCTGGGCAAGTCACTTAACCCTAATTGCCTTGCCAAAAGAAAAAATCAGCAGCCCCTGGCAACAGCTTGGATCTAGGGAGAAAGAGATAGTGAAGAATCCAGGATGACTTCTTTAGGATGGTGTTGCGCTTTACAGTAACATGGAAGGTGGGAGGTGGGGAGGATTTAGATGGAAAGATAATGAGTTCTGCTTTAAACATATTTGGTTTAAGATATCTACTGGACATACAGTTTGAGATGTTTGAAAGTCGATTGGAGGTCAGAAGAGAGGTTAGGGCAGGACAGGTAGATCTGAGAATCATTAGCATAGAGATGATAATTAAATCCATGAGAGCTGATGAGGCCACCAAGTGAAGAAGTACAGAGGGAGAAGAGAAGAGGGCCGGGGACAGAACCCAGAGGGACACCTATGGTTAGAGGGCATGATCTGGATGATCCAGCAAAGGATGGTGACTGGCCTCCCGAGGCTATGCCATGTGAGTACTGGCTAAAGAGAGTAGGGGAGGTTAGCATGGAGGAGAGATGTAGTGATGGAGGACAAGACCACTTCAAGTATGTGGTGGGCCTTGACACAGAAGAGGACAGAACCAAGAGGAAGGGGTGAAAGGGGCAGAAAGGCAGGTTTGAGGGTTGGTGTGAGCAGACTGCAGCACATTACAAATGAGGAATTACAAAGAAGCAGTGTGAAGGATGTCAGCCTAGAAGTGTGTGATAGGAAGAAAGATGGGCCAGGCATGTATAATCAGCAGAAAGCCAAGTGCTTCTGCAACGCCCACACAATATCATAATCTCCAACCAGGAGAGGGATTGTCCTCTTATGGCTGATTCCCAAGAAGAGTAGACAAGAGTCCCAAAGGATGGCTGTGCCTGGCATCACAGGAGGAAGGACCACTTTTATGATATCATGCACCCATTAGGAGAAAATACTTGCTTCTAATCAGACTTGTCCCTATGTGTCCCTGTGGAGGCCAAAGGAACTTGTAGTCAGGAGTCCAAAAGAGGTAATTCCTCTTCAAGTAGGGCCTGCCCAAGATGATCTGTGAGTTTACTGTCAACACTAGGGTTCTGTGGTCACCCTAGCTCCTCTTCCCCTACCAGTCCACAGAGAAGTACTCCTAAGAGAGGGGCACAAGGCTGTGACCATGTCCAAGGTGAGAAGGACCAGCCCAGCCCCATCACTAGCTCAGAACCTCCTGGGGACTAAATACACATGGCCTAAGGGGCCCTGCACTGAGGGCTGGACTGGCCTGGCTTTCCTTTTAGCTCACACTGCCGTTTGCCAGGAAATACAGCCGCTGTGTGGACCTGCTCATCAAGAAAGGTTTGTCCAGGTCTGTCTCCTATTCAGTTCTGGGGAAGTACCTGGAGGAGTGTTAGGGGAGACGCCACCCACACCTGGAGCTCATGTATGTGCATAGGTCTTTGTGCATGAGTGTGCACACCTGTGTGTGTGTGCACATGAACCTGTGTGTGCTGTGTGCATACGTGTGTATGAACTAGAGCTTGTCCTTTTATAAACAAATAAAGTTCTAAACCAGAACAAAGTGGTAAGCTTCCCTCTCCAAGAAACCAAGGGCTAAATTACATCCAAACAGATATAAACCTTTATTAGAAACAGTTCAAAAAAGCCATCAGGTCAACGTTATAACATGAATCCAGGGAAGAATGCTAGGATGGGATCCTAGTGAGCTCAGGACTAGAAGGGAGGGACCTGGCTGGTATGATGGGGAATCTACAGCAGGCCTGGGGTGATGTGGGCAGAAGACAACGTCAACTTCATGCTAGACCCACCACTCCCTGCCAAAGGGCTGCAAACCTACTTGTTCACCCCACCATCTCCCCAAATTCACAGAGTTAGCCAGTTTATTCTTTCCCTCGTGGAGAATAAAGAGAAATGCTATGAGATCCCAAAAGGAAACCCAAGCATACAGAAAATGGCAGGTCAGCCACAGCAAAGCCTTATGGGTCTTTGTCCCTGAGACTGGAGGAGACTTTGAGGCTAAGGAGCTGGGCCAGTGCTAGAATGCTGATGGGACTTGAGCCAAAAGAGGAAACAGATCCTGGGAAATCCCCTTTCTCCAAGTCCCAGGGGGCTGACCACCATCTTTGTCACTGAGTCTACTGTAGATGACACTGTTCTAAGCCCAATAACACCCTCCACCTCACCACCTACTCCTATACCCAGGCATCTCCAAGTTCTCTGTCACCCTGGCTAAAAACATGAAACACAACACCTTCCCCTCTAGTCTAATTATAACTTAAAGCAGGGCCTGGCTGGCTCTAATTGCCCCTCAGAGTGTCCACACAGATGGCTAGGAGAGGGGGAGTCCTTCAGACTACATGGCCATTTTTGGACACCCTAGGACAGACCCTTTGTCAAAATCAGCCATGGGCATTAAGCATCTGTCCGCTCCTCCTTTTTCTTCTTTAGAGCAGGAGCTAAGGAAGTGGCCACCCAGACATTCAAAATGGTTAAGATATCAACGTGTGGCTAACAGAGCTGCCTGTTCAGGATGTAGGGCATCAAGTTAGGTAACTGAAGCAACTGAAAAAGGGAACATAAACTCATGCCTTGGGCCGTACCCTGACCAACAACAGAAAAATGGGCCAGGGTGAGGCGTCCCTAAGACCTAGGCCTCAGCTGAGGGGAAGAACAGATGTGGAGAAAAGGCTTCACTCCTCCTGGCCAGCATCCATCACGTCTGCCAAAGCAGGGTTCATACCTGTGGAAGCCCAAGAGATATCTTGCCCAGGTTCCCCCAACTCCCCAGCCACAGTGTCTAATCATCTTGTTAAGCATTAAAGCCCTGGCCCTACCCAGGAAAGCAAATGATGACCAATCTACATAGGTGAACTAAAGGGTGTATTTCAACACCTCAAGGGAGAGGTGAAGGGAATGGACAAGGACCTGAACATCCCAGAATACTTACTGAGGTTATGTACTGACTCTGGCCACAATGGGGCTTGTCTTCCAGGGGTGGTAAGGGCTGGTCTTCACAGCCACTGGCCAGGGTCAGACCAGGTACACAGCCACTATCTGAACCACTGGAACTAGCTGATGGACACTGGGATGAGGCCTCAGAGCTCTCAGGAGCTGTCAAGGCAGAGTGAGGAGCCAGTGAATGGAGGGGCAGCCCCACCCTTAGCCACCCTCCTTCAGTATCCATACTCAGTCCCTCCACCTTAGCACCCAGACTACCCTACTAGGTCCCTTGTATCTCTAGCCCTTCAGGCAGACATACTCAGTGAAGGCTGGCTTCCTGTTTCAGTCTCTGGATCTAGCTCCTCCAGGTAGGTGGTAGGCTGCAAAGGCCAACAGAGTCCCAGTCGAGCTGGGTCTCCACACAGGTGCAGGTTAAGGGGCCCCAGCAAGGAACAGGAAGAGGGGCCGGCGGGAAGTGAAGCTGGAGATCCAGAATAGGGGTCGGTGTGGTCAAACAGAGACACTGCAATGGAGGCCCGAGTCCGAGCTCCTGTCCCAGAGAGAGAACTTGAGATCAGCCTTGTTAGGGGACAGGAGTCTGACTTAAGGACATAACAGCCACCCTGTCCACTTGACCATGTATACTGTGGCCTCTTATCCTCACTTCTGGTTGCTTTCCCCATCCATCTCCCCTGACTATAGTCTCCCAAGGCCCTCCTACCCCCCTCCAGCACCTCGACCCTTCATGATATAGTTGATGGCACGGTCATTGATGGCTGCTTCGCTGGGGGTGATGTCCAGGAAGGGTTTGTTCCCTATACCCATGGATACCATCTCAGCCATTCGGAGCTCTGGGGGGGAGAAGGCCTGGAGTAACCAAAGGCGTCCACACACACACACAGATACACAGACACACCCACCTCTTCCCATTGCCCTCCCCAAATTTCAGAATCATAGTCCCTGTGGATACTCCAGAAATTCTTCATCTTGCATTTGGGCTGCTGGAAGTCTCCTAATTGATGTCCTATCAAAGAATGTCAAGGCTAGAAAGGGCCGCAGATTAAGAGCTGCGGGGCACGTTAGAGATCAGCTCAACCCCCTGATTTTCACAGCCCTGTAGGGCCCTCTAGGCCTGGGGCACCCATCACTGGAGGCAGATACCCTTATTGCGGGCAGCTTGTCTCCAAAGCAGGCTGGCGATGTCAGCGGTCCAGGCCTGCTTATTTTCAGGATTCAGGGCCTGCAGCACGAATGTGTCACTGGCCTTGCGGCGTCGGAACCAGATCTCAAAGCACAGCCCACTCTCTCCGCAGTTCTCTGTGAGACCAATGTCTGCTGTCTGCCCAGTGAGAAACGGGTAGATACAAAGATCAAAAATGGTGTATGCTGAGGGACATAGGTGAAGATCCGCGAGCTGAGACAGACCCAGCAGGCAGACCCAAGGTTGGCAGCCAGAACCAAGATTAGAAAGCAGGACTGAAGTCAGGGATAGGCTCAGAGTTAAAGCTGGGCTCAGAAGTCAGGTCTGGGCTATGATACCACAGTCAGAGTCTAAGCTAGTCTGAGAGGCAAGAGCTCAAATCAAAGGAGAGGCAGGGCCTCCCTGGAGGAGAGGGGTCCTACCTTAAAGGAGTGCTTGTAGATGAAGGAGTCAACACCCCTGGGCCCATGTCGAGATTTGCTGAAGAGAATGAGCTCCTCAAACAGGAAGATATGGCGCTGGCACCTCTTACGTCCAGACCACACCGTAAACTCATCCTGACGAACGAGCTGGCCCTGTTCCTTGAGGTTCACCTGGCAGAGATTTCTGTAGTTTAGCAGGGAGTATCTGGTAGGCACCATCCCAGAACTTTCAGACTCCCTGTGCCCAGAGGACCAGCCTTGAGCCCCACTGGTACCATCCCAATGGGCTAAGCCTCCCCATGGCAGGTACCTCCTGGGGCCACGAGCCTGCCAGGGCCACAGAGGCGCCTTCCCGGGGCTTCCAGGCACTGCATTCCAGTGCAGGGTCTCCCCTGGCCATGTCCGTTGCACACTCACATCACAACCACAGATGGCATCCATAGCTAGCAGGTCATTGCCGTGCCGCAGCTGGAATCGAACAAGGTCACAGGCAGCATGCAGGGCAGCCAGATCTGGCCCTCGGGACCAGCCCGGCCCTGGCCCTTCTTTGCAGGTCCGGGACAGTTCTTGCAGCAGCAGCACATACTTGCTCATCCGCTGAATGGGCTTCAGCAGGTAGGAAGCCAAGTCCAGGTGGTCCCCTAGACAACGCTGTTTGTCCTGGGGACAAGCCAGGGGCAGAGAGGTAAAGGGAAGATGGGCCTCCTCTGCCTAAGGTCTCCAAGAAGTTACAACTGGAAGGGACCTCAGGGATTCTAGCTCAACCCCCTCATTTACAGATGGGGAAACTGAGGCTGAGGGAGGAGGCATTACTTGTCCAGGTCACATGTAATAAGAGGCAGAGATGAGACTCATGCCGCACATCCAAGGCTCTTTTCATCACACTCTGCTTCCTTCCTCGGCTCAAACACACCCAGCCCCATCCTGCCCCTTTGCCGAGGCTAAGCTTTACTCCTCACTTTGGAGTTTGGGAGAGGGTTAAGGCTGGAAAAGGTCTTCCAGACATCTATTTCAACCCCTTTCTTTAAAGGTTAGGAAACTGAGGCCTACAGAGAAGTAGCCCAACCAGCCCAGTAAGGAGCAGGGCTAGTACTCCACCCCAGGGCTTCTCATCCACGGTAGGAGAGCCAGGACAAGGACCTCCATCTGCCTCAGGCACTTAATAAATGTCTGTAACTGACTGGACCAACCTTAAAGAAGGCATTCCCATGACTGGCCAACAAAGCATCTGATCTGGGCTTGTTCTTGCTGTAGAGGGCATACATCCCGAACTGCTCCCTCTGTGGAGACAAGGCTCAACCCTGATTGGCAGTGCCTTATGCCAGCCTCACCCTCTGCTGCCCACACAGTTCAGATCAGCTGAGGAAACCTTCCTGGGTTAGCCCCATGTACCATTCACTCTAAAGTCCCTTCAGGGAGTGTTCATGTGTGTACAGGTATTATTTAAACACATCAAGCAAAAGGCCCAACGTACAAACTCAGTTAAACACAGAATGGGCTAACCACTTTTACCCAAGGACCCCACCAGAGCCGGCTCCCTGGAATCCTACAGCAGGATTCCAATGACAAAGCTGTGACTAGAAACGGCTCGTCATGGAGAAAGGGAGAGGTGTGTCTGTTCACCTGTGTTTGGGCTGGAGGTTTGGTAACTGTGTCTAAGCTGGGTGTTGCGCTCCCTGGAGCAGCGGACAGGGAGCTGCTAGGGCAGCGGGGAAGGGGGCAGAAGGCAAGAGAGCCTTGCGGGCCCTTACGTGACGTAGGAAAGCATGGGCCACTCGAAGAGGGTGCTGGCTACAGCTCTCCAATTCCCGTAGGAAGAAGTGACGGTGGAAGTCCCTGAGTTTCTCCAGGTTGCCAAAGAGCCGGGCTCGCTGTCCTCGCAGACCCTGGGGCACATCTGCCCGTTCCAGCTCAGGGAAGTAGCTTTCCACCACGTAATCTAGGGCCCGCACGTACTCCCTCTCTGTCGCCACCATCTCTCCTAGT